CGTTACCTAAAGTGGTAAATAAAAAGAATTCTAGTCAAGTTCTCTCTCTCTCTGTCTGTCTCTCTCTTTCTCAGAAGGAGGGAGAGAGGAGAGAGGGAGGGAGAAAAGTGTGCATATGAGTGTGTGCATCTACATGTAGATGGATGATGTCTATTTGGATGCAGAAATACATGCACATAGTTGCTGTCACATCATAGAGTGAAGAAGAAGGATGGGCTTGGGAGTCAGATCTGACCTCACATCCCAAAGCCCTGCTACTTACCAGCTAGCTGTGTGATCTTAAGCAAGTTATTTTAACCTGTCTGGGTTTAAATTTTCTCAATAGTATAATTAAGCTAATCATAATTACCACCTCTTAATATACAAAGTTCAGTATTGACACACCAAGAAATATAGCCAGAGAAACAGATTCCATCTGTTCCAGTCACTTTACTCAGGCCGTGCAGAGAAGCAGAGTAGCCCTAAATATAGAAATGAATTGAGTATTGAAAAGTGTAATGTATTCTAAGCATCTGAACCTTGAACTATTTCAAAGCAATAATTATGCAGCATCTGTGGCCGCATTTGTGTTTGCTACTACTCAGTCAGGGGCATTTTAATCACAGCTTTTGCTAAGAGATTGCTGTGTCCTTTTGTGTGTGTTTTATTCATCTGCTCACTAAATGTCAGTATTTATTGCAATTAATTAGCCAGCTATATCTTTGTTATTTTAGATAGATTGCATTAGGTTACATTCTTAAATGAATAATAGGCCCAATTGCGAAATTCTCAGGAAAAACAGTTTTGCATATTAGTTGTAGATACAGATTCATCAATCATCTTCATCATTAGTACCATCGAATAATATAAGGCATTCAGATTCACAGGACTAAGTTACCAAGGAAATGAGATATTTTGGTTTGGCTGCTCTGATAATTAGATCACAGCAGTGGTTCCAAATCACACTTTTGAAAAACATTTTAAATTGTGAAATACACACAGTGGAAAAGTGCATAAAATATAAATATGTTCTCTTAACAAAATATTGTAGAGAAGATACTTACGTAACCCCTCTCAGTTCAAGAGGTAAAACATTGCCAGGACCCAAGAAGCTGCCCATATGCCTCTTCCCAATCATAGAGGATACCCCTAGGGAGGTAGGTATCCTCCCTACCCCAACCACTATCTTGACTTTTATCTTGTTTCTCTTTATAGCTTTACACCTAGATATGCACCGTATATGCATATCTAGGTGATGCAATCTAGTTTTGCCTACGTAAAAGCTTTGCATAAACTGAATTATCCAGAATTTATTCTTTCAATCTGGCTTGTGTTACTCAGTATTAGGATTTATCCATGTTATTGCATGTAGGTGAAGTTTGTTCATTTTCATTATTGTATAATATTCCATTGTATGAATCCACCAGTTCTCTTATGGATGGATGTTTGGGTTGCATCTAGTTAGGGGATATCATGGGCAACATTGCTATAAACATTGTTTACATCTGCTGGTGCATATAAGTGTTTGTTCATTTTCTGTTGGCTTCCTTCTCTTTTTCTTATTGACTTCTAGGGGCTCTATGTATGCTCTAGATACAAGTTCTTTGCTAGTCGTTATGTGTTGCAGATACTTTCTCCTACTCTGGCTTGCCTTTTTGCCCTCTTAATGACATTTTTGATGAACTTAAAAGCGTTTCCTCTTCTTTTTTATTTTGAGATGGAGTCTCACTCTGTCGCCCAGGCTGGAGTACAGTGGTACAATCTCGGCTCACTGCAACCTCCACCTCCTGGGTTCAAGCGATTCTCCTGTCTCAGCCTCCCCAGTAGCTAGGATCACAGGCATGCGCCACCACAGTCTGTTAATTTTTACGGGGTTTTGCCATGTTGGCCAGGCTGGTCTTGAACTCCTGACCCCAGATGATCCGCCCACCTCGGCCTCACAGTGCTGGGATTACAGGTGTGAGCGACTGCACTCAGCCAAAAGCGCTTCATTTTAATACAGTCAAAATTATCCATCTTTTCATTTATAGGCAGGGTTTGTGTCATAATTCATTTTTTTACCTTCAGGTCATAAAGATATTCTCCTCTTTTATCTTTATTTTCTTTTATTTGACTAATTAATTTATTTAAGACATGGGGTGTCAAACTCTTGGTCTCAGGCGATCCTCTTACCTCAGCACCCCCCAATAAGTAGCTGGGATTAGAGGTGCCAGCCACTGTGCCTGGCTATTTCATCTTCTGAATGTTTTATTGTTTTGCTTTTCACATTTATTTTTACAGTCCCCATGGAATTGGTTTTTGCGAATGATATGAGAGATGATCCAATTTCATTTCCCCCTATAGATAGCCAACTCTCCTAATACCATTTATTGAGCAGGCTATTTATGTACTGAAAATCTTTCCCCCATCTGCTTTGAAGTGACACATTTGTCATAAATCAAGAATCCACATCTGGATCTGTTTCTGGGCTTCCTATTCTATTCCCTGAGTCTATTTGTCCTTGTGCTAGTCATATACTGTTTTAATCACTACAGCTTTATATGTTCTGTTATCTGGTAGAGTGAGTCCTCCCACATCATTGCTCTTCAGATGTATCTTGGCCCTTTGCTTTTCCTTATAAAGTTTAGAAATCAACTTGTCAAGTTCTACAAAAATAAACAAATGAAATAACCCATTGAGGTTTTTTATTGGGACTTAGCTGTTTACTTTCTTTCAATGAGGTGTTTGTAGCTTTTTCCAAAAGAGGTCTCCTATAACTGTTGTTAGATTTCTTCCCGGACACTTGATTTTTAAAAGCAGTTGTAAATGTTATCTTTAAGATGATAACATTTCTAATGTTTATTGCTGGTATATAGAAGTATAATTGTGTGTGTGTGTGTATTTATCTAGTAACTTTGTTAATTCTATTCTTATTCTAATAATCATTTGTAGATTCTTTTAGATTTTTCTAAGTTCACCATATCATTTGTGAATAATGACAGATTTGATTTTTTCCTTTCCAGTTCTCATGTTTTGTTCTTGCCTTAGTGCACTGAGACCTCCAGAGTAAATAGTTTTTTAAAAAAATAACTTTGCTTTTTGGCCAATTGGATAACTAAAATTTATTAATTTTAATTAATTTGTTAAACAAATTAACTACTTTTTAAACAGAATCAAAAAATTCAAAAAGTACCAAAAAGATGAATCTATGAAAAGTCTCTCTCCTACTCCAGACCTCCATTGGCTTGTTAAAAATATCCCATTTTTTCTAGTCCCCTTGACCTGTTGAATCTGGAACTTTAGCCAGTGGAGCTTCACGATGTATGTTTTTTTTTTTTTTTTTTTTTTTTTTGCTCCACACGTAACTGATATTTGAAGACCAATACAGAAAGTTTGCCTATGCAGAGATTAATGGGATTTGTGTAACACAGTGATCCTCAACCTTGGCTGTACATTAAAATCACCGGGAGGCTTTAAAAATGTCTTGATGCCTGTCCTGTACACTGGGTCTACTGATCTGAATCTCTGTAGATGCTGTAGTGGGCATCTAGAGTTTCCATAAGCTCCCCAGGTGATTTGGGGAGGCAGGAAGGAGGGCTTACAAAGGGGCAAGAGGAAACATTTGGGAGTGATGGGTATGTTTCCTATCTTGATCGTGGCGATGGTTTCATAAGTGTGTACATATGTCGGAACTTATCAAATTATACACTTTAAGTCTGTTCCATTTATTATATATCAATTTTGCATCAGTAAAGCAGTTTAAAGATAAAGCTGTCCAGGTGATTCTGATGCACAGCAATGGTTGAGAATTATCCTTGTAATAGAAAAGGCACATGACTGGAAGTGGAAGTTGGATAGACTCTCATCTGTCAACAGTTGGCTGTGCACACTTAGACAAGTGACTTCCACCTTTCTGGACCTCAGGTTCATTCTAGTTAGTGGGTTCAATTTCTTCACAAGTACTTTTCAGCTGGCATGTTGATTCTTCTACTCAGCCTGGCAGTGCTGGCCAGGCTGCTGGTGCACCTCCTGGCCACACGAGGGAGCCGTACAGCTGGCAGCCTCTGACTTTCCACTGAACACTCTTGTGAGGTGAAAATAGGCTGGTCAGGCAGGGAGGGGTCTTTCCATTCTTCCTGTGCTTTTCTCCTCTTGGTGAATGCAAGCCCCACTCCTCAACGGTCATCTTCAACTACCCTCACTCACTGATCTCGCTGCAGGTGAGCCTTTTTTTAAGCAAAGCAAATCCATGAATTTCTGAAGGTACAGAACAGCTTTATAAAAGGATTCCCACATTGCTTTGAAAATATCCTACTCTCCCCGAGCAATTAAAATAGTACCAAATTGAAGTATATGTATGTATACATATGTATGTACACATGTAAATGTATGTATATGTGTATATGCATCAATATAGATCCATATCTGGTCTATATCAGTCAGCACGCTAACAATACTATTCTCCCCCTATGAAAATTATCTATCTATATAAAAGGCAGTTATGTTTGTTAGAGGTACAGTTTTGATATCCTTCAGGCATTAACATTGCTTAGACGAAAAGAGGAATCAAGGTTAGCAAACAAAGATTTTTTCCATGGTAATATGATGTAAAGTGCTTAAGTGGGTAAATGTGTAAGGGAGAGAGAGTGTGTGTGTCTGCGTGTCTGTGTGTGTTTACATATATTCAGGTGAACAGGTTGGCTAATATTTTCAGAATAGAATTTTATCCAGACACTCTGTGCATTAATCTCTATTTTTCTTGGACCGGACAGGGCAAAAAATCTGAATTCCCCAGAAGAGATAGACTAGAATTGATGTTACAAAATGATCTAGCTATGCCCTAAACTTTAATAAATGTATTTTAATCCAGCTCAAAAATGAAAGGCAAATGTTTTCTGAAGTGCAGCAATAGTGACTTTTAAAAAAGAACTCCTCCCCCACCCTAAAATAGTCTAAATAATGCTTTAAAACCTTAGCTTTGAGTTGCTCTTTTATTTTTGGTCTTATTGAAGTTTTCTTCCATTTTGATTCCTAAATTTCAGATTATTCTATGAGCCAGTCACAACACCTTGTGGGCATACTTTTTGCTTAAAATGCCTAGAAAGATGCCTAGATCACAACGCCAAGTGTCCATTGTGCAAAGACGGTCTTTCACAGGTAAATCAATATTTCTTTGTTTGGTTTAAATCAGTATTTCTTTCTTGTTAGGTTTAGCTTATTTGGAATTGGGCACTAAGACAGTGTTCAACTGGACCCCAAGCCACTGCACTGTGGTAGGGCACATTACTCCCTCAAACCATCTATTTCTCCTTTTTTTTTTTTTTTTTTTTTAGATGGAGTCTCCACTCTGTCACCCAGGCTGGAGTGCAGTGGCGCGATCTCAGGTCACTGCAACCTCCACCTCCTGGGTTCCAGCAATTCTCCTGCCTCAGCCTCCCAAGGAGCTGGGATTACAGGCGCATGCCACCACGCTCAGCTAATTTTTTTTTTTTTTGAAACAGAGTCTTGCTCTGTCACCCAGGCTGGAGTGCAGTGGTGCGATCTCCGCTCACTGCAAACTCCCCCTCCCGGGTTCACGCCATTCTCCTGCCTCAGTCTCCCAAGTAACTGGGACTACAGGTGCCCGCCACCATGTCTGGCTAATTTTTTTGTATTTTTAGTAGAGATGGGGTTTCACCGTGTTAGCCAGGTTGGTCTCGATCTCCTGACCTCGTGATCCGCCTGCCTCGGCCTCCCAAAGTACTGGGATTACAGACGTGAGCCACTGCGCCTGGTCTAAGTTTTGTATTTTTAGTAGAAATGGGGTTTCACCATATTGGTCAGGCTGGTCTCGAACTCCTGACTTCAGGTGATCCACCCACCTCAGTCTCCCAAAGTACTGGGATTACAGGCGTCAGCCACCGTGCCCAGCCTATTTCTCCTGTCTTATAGCCACTGTTCCCATCTCCATAAAGTCCTTCAGGAAAATGAGGCAACATGCAGTTTTTTATGCGCTGTAAGTAGGGAAATCAATTTGTGTTGGAAACAAAAGTGTTAAGTAGATGATAAACTTGGATCCTGGTTCTGATCTCATCGTGGCACCTGATATACTGTTATCTTGAGTAAATCTTTTGTCCCCTCTAGGATTGGACTAGGTAAGCCCTGATGTTCCCTTATCATCAATGTTTATTCTGTGGCTTGAAGATAACAGCTCCAAAGGCTCCAGGAGAACCTCACAGAACTTCAGAGTGATCCTTGTCCAACCCCTCAGGAGCCACTGTACCTGGAAGCCCTAGAGCTTTTGCAGTAAGACAATTTAGCAGACAGCAGCCCTCTAGGACTTCCAGGTTCTCTAAAACTAATCACACAGACTCCCACCTTTGTTTTTCAAGTGAACCTGAAGGAATTTCCTATAGAAAAAGAAGACCTGAGAATCCATCTTGTTTTCCCTCCCTCAGGGACTTATGTACCACATTTTATGATTGGTGTTAATATTCCTTGACCCCTGTCATTCCTGAGGAGAGATTGGAGATGCAAGGCTATCTCTAGGTGACTACAGGTCAAGAGAAGTCACATGTTGAGCTTTACCATCACCCTAGTATTTAAATTAAGGGAATGGAGTGAAATAATCATCACTGGTAGCCCTCAGGGTATGTGTTGGGATTGGGAGGAGGGCCAATGTCATACCTTTACCTAGATAAAAGTTGTAGGATTTGCAGGCCTGATTGTAGGTGAGAAGTGCATAATCCTTATACTTAAATAATACATCTGTGTTGTTGTAACACTGGAAAATTCAGATTAAGTGGAAAGAAGAAAAATCTACCCATATGCTCAGTACCTAGAGAAAATCACTGTTAGTTAACATTTTAGTATGTGCCTTTTCTGGCTTTTTGTTTTAGCATCAGCAGAGGAGTCACCTACTTTTTGGACCGACTACCTCCTCAATCACTGCTTATGCCCCAAAACTGGGACTGGGAAGTGCAGTTGATTTTCCCATAGCCAGGCAATGGCAGTGGCAGTGGCAGATAAGGCATCCTGGAGACAGATGCTATACGGTTCAGGACTTGGGGTCTAGAAGATATTCTTATCTATCTCTGTGTATTCACATAGCGTCACACTTGCACCATTTTACATAGGATTAAATATTCCAATCATGTTCACTGCAGAATAGAGACACAGCTCATACTGAGAAAGGAATAAAATTGTTTGAAGCCAACAGTTTTATACTCAGGCGCTCTCCTTGCTGGGACTGTAGGGGTAGTTTCCATAGCAAGCAATTCTCCGCAGATGTTTTAACATCAGTTGTTTGATTCACACCGTTAAATACCCACTACTTAAACATCCCTGGGTGTGCATCGGTCAGAGGTGTTTGGGAGAAGAGTAACAGTGACAATTGAGCCTGAGTCCAGTTCTTGAAATCATGACTTTTAATCTCAGTGATACCTAGATGGTATATTAGAAAGGCAAATAGACAAATCAATATTTAGCTGTTTGTGTTTTTTAAAACTAAAATTAAAAGAGAAAAAATAGGTAGATTTGGTAATATCCAGAAGCCCAAGCATTGGGTTAGGCTGGGAGTGGGACAGGGCAGGAAAGGATCAGTGATTGAAAAATGCTTTTTAGTTCCCTGAACCTTTTGGCCACTAACTTTGAGCATATCCCAGATGGAGACCATTTCTGTGTGCTTGTAAACACGATCAACAGAAAATGGAAAGGGAAGGATTCCCCCCACCCCACTTTTTGGACAAGAACATGATCTTGATTTCAGTATTTCAAGAAAATTGTGAGAGTTTTAAAACTTCAATGCAGGTTTTACCCCCTTGTTAAAATATTTTTTTTCTAATTATAAAGATAATCAATTGCATGTGTGGTTTTTTTAAATGAAACTAACATCCAGAAAATACATATATTATGATGGTATCATCTGCTGATTTGTGGGTCCAGACTACTCCAATATGTGGGTCATGTGACTTGTCCAGTGATTACATCAGAAGTGTTTTGCTGATGACTGCATATTACCTAATTGCATATTATCTAATTGCCTCCCCCCATATAGTGCTTGGCATCAAGAAAATACAGCAAAAATGTAATAATGGAGGAGCTCATAGCTAAATTCCTTCCAGAAGAACTGAAGGAACGAAGGAAGCTTTACGAAGAGGAAATGGAAGAACTTTCTAAGTATGTATATGCATATTTCTGTTTTGTTTCCCTCATACCAGCTCATGAGAGCTGAATGTGCACATTACTTCCCAGCTTCCGACTTAGTGATGTCCTGCCAGCTGCTTGAAATTGGCTATGGTGAGAGTATTTACACCATGGAAATTGGCAAGTGCTACAAACCAGGGCTTCCCCTGCACCCAGAGAGCCAGTTGTTAAACATACCAGCATACCACTGAAGAAGCATAAGCGAAACCAGTGATGAGGGTACACCCTGCCCCCAGTAACAGGGTATTTGTTGGCGAGAGTAAATTGGAGTAGCTTAATCAGGGGAACTTAACGAAATGGCCAAAAGATTGTTTTTGGATACATAAGGAGTTGCTATGAAGTTAAGAACTTTGGTGTCAACCAGAACCGGGCTTAAGACCCAGTTCTACCTCAAAGTGAGTCTACTTCACAACCCTAGGCAGGTCACTTAACCTTTCTGGGCCTTAGTTTCCTTATCTGTAGCTTGAGAATAATTTAATAATTTGAGTTCTTACTTCATGGACTTATTTTTTGAGATTGAGCCTCACTCTGTCACCCAGGCTGGAGTGCAGTGGTGTGATCTTGGCTCACTGCAACCTCTGCCTTCTGGGTTCAAGCGATTCTCCTGCCTCAGCCACCCAAGTAGCTGAGATTACAGGCATGCACCACCATGCCCAGCTAATTTTTGTATTTTTTAATGGAGACAGAGCTTCACCATGTTGGACAGGCTGGTCTTGAACTACTGACCTCAAATGATCCTCCCACTTGGATTTCCCAAAGTGCTAGGATTACAGGCGTGAGCCACCATGCCTGGCCACCTCATGAACTTCTTATGAAAATCAAATGACCTTGTGCATAGTAAGCACTTAATTAATGGTAATAATACTAATACTTGTTAAGTGCTTTCTCTGCCGTGCACAGGTAATGTGAGAGGTGAAGGGGAGGGTCACAGGCATCAGTGAGGCTCTCAGCCCTCCGCCTAGCTGTGAGAACAGCTCCCTTCGCAGAAAAAGCAGGAGGCAATCACTAATTTCTGCCTGTCTTGCTTCTGCCCTCCCCTCCCCCGATCCGCAGTAGAATCCTAACAGCATTCCAGAGGCAAGGTTCCTGACAGCAAAAATGGTTCTGGTTTCATGCCCACTGTGTAGAGAACATTCGTAAACTCTGCCAGTGACTTGATTGAATGCATTCCTCACTTTGAATAATGTTTTTCTCAGAAACTAGACATTTTTTTCTCACTAATTTACATTGGAACTACTCAGGGGATCTTTATCTTTATTTCTGATCTGTAAATTAGCATTGAGCCTCTTGAGCCCTCATCTCAAATCTCATTTAAGGTCTTATTAACAAATACTGAGATGTATTAGGACTTTCTATGTAAATGAATCCTAAACTTGATCCTTTTGAGATTTGGGCAGTTGGTCTTGTATTTCTTGATAGGTTTAGGTTCAGATGTTCCTGTGTTGAATTTACTAGACAAATAAGAAGACAAGGATCCCAGGGGAGCTGGCTCTGTTTTGGTTCCCCAACAGGTTGTGTGTGTGACTCTCTGGGAGTACTTATTGAAAGGCAAGGCCGGGCATGGTGGCTCATGCCTGTAATCGTAGTACTTTGGGAGGCAGAGGCGGGTGGATTGCTTGAGGTCAGGAGTTCAATACCAGCCTGGCCAACATGGTGAAACCCCGTCTCTAATAAAATTACAAAAATTAGCCAGGCGTGGTGCCATGCACCTGTAATCCCAGCTACTCAGGAGGCTGAGGCAAGAGAATTGCTGGAACCCAGGAGGCAGAGGTTACTGTGAGCCAAGATTGCACCATTGCACTCCAGCCTGGGTGACAGAGTAAGATTACGCTTAAAAAAAAAAAAAAGGAAAAGAAGAAAGAGAAAGGCAGACCCTTGGGTTCCAATTCCAGAGCTAATGCATCAGTATCTCTGGTAATATGGTGTCCAAGTCATCTTGATTTAAGAGCCCCTGGTGATTCTGATGCAAAGAAGCATTTGAGCATCACTGGGCTGGATTACTCTTGCCTATCTCTTAGTCCTTCCTCCTTTCAACTGTGCCTACTTTGCAGATTCTTTGGGGTCCTTGCAAATTTGAGATGCCCTAGGGACCTTACATAGAATTTCCCACCACCCTTCTGGAGAGCTGAGTCCACTTCTATCATCAGCAGCCTTCCCCATGCAGCCTGAAAAACACCTGAAGAGATTGTTTTGAGTAGAGAGCGTGAAAGAAAGACAAAATATGAGTTATAGCTGTCACCCACAATATTAAGGTGCTAGAGAACTTTTTCAGCCAAATTAAAATGTGTAGAATGCCAATTTTAATTTCTTAGACCTTAGGCTAACCTCTGCATCGGATAATGGAACTCAGCCCACACTATCAATTGCATTTCAATATTTTTCTATTAGCCATCAAAACTTGATGTATCTTTGGCAAGTGACACCATCAAAAAACAAACTGGTGTCTCTTTGCCTTCCCCCAGGGGTATCACATGCTAACATTTGACCAACATTTTTGTGTTCTGTCCGATTGCTTTGAGATCCCTGTCATTTGCTCTCTCTGACAGCCTTAATAAGAATGTGCCTATTTTCGTGTGTACTATGGCCTATCCCACCGTTCCTTGTCCCCTGCACATCTTTGAGCCTTGTTACCGCCTGATGATTCGTAGATGCATTGAGACAGGCACGAGACAGTTTGGCATGTGCCTTGGAGATCCTGTCAAAGGGTAAGTAAGGAGCCATGTGAGCAAAAAGAGGTTGTGTAATGAGGGATTTCTCTTTTACTTTGGGTACTCCCAGGAGATGGGGAGGCCTAGCTCATGAGGTTAGCCAACTGAAGAATATAAGCATTTGTAAGGATCATGGTCCCTTTGGTGGTTAGTTTACCATGTGAGAGGCTGTCTATTTAAAGAACTCTAGAATTAATATTTGGTTAAACAAGTGGTATATGTTATAAAACTTGTAAGAATGTGGGCCTTGGAGTCAAACTGCCTGTGTTCATTATCTAGTTGCAACCTTGGAGCAAGTTTGAGTTTGAGCAAGCTATTTAACCTCTCTGTATCCCAGTTTCCTTATCTGTAAAGTGGGTACAATAATAGTACCTACCTCGTTGGGTTTGCTGGGAAGATTGGTGAGTTGATAATGTACATAAAATGCTGAGCACAGTTCCTGGCTTCCTTAGTCCATTTTGTGCTACTGTAACAGAATGCCACAGACTAATAATTTATGAACAATCGAAATTTATTTCTCATGGTTCTGGAGGCTGGGAAGTCCAAGATCAGTGTGCTGGCATCTGGCAAGGGCCTTCTTCCTTTATCATAACATAGTGGAAGGGCATAGCAGAAGGGCAACAGAGAGAGAGAAAGAAGGGGGTCAAACTTGCCCTTTTGTATTAATAACAACCCTACTCTACTTTCACCATATCAGCATTAATGCACTCATGAGGGTGGAGGCCTAATCACCTCTTAAATGTCCCACCTCTTAATAATGCTACAATAGCAATTAAATTTCAAAATGGGTTGTAGAGACAAACATTCAAACCATAGCACTGGCACGGCACATAGTATGTGCTCAATAAATGGTAGCAGTTACACAAACACATTATGATTTCCTTTTCTTCACACAGGCACTGCCTGTTGTGTACTTGAAACTATAACCCGGGGACAGGAAAATAGGCAGAAGTCCCTTGAGCCACAGCATGGGGTTACAGAAATGGCTGGGTGCCAGGCCAGGGAAACAGAACTCATCAAGGATCTATTCTCTCGACTCCATTCTCAATAAACAGGTTTGCAGAATATGGCTGCATCCTAGAGATCAGAAATGTTCAATTCTTTGCCGATGGCCGCTCAGTGGTTGACAGCATAGGAAAGAGGCGCTTCAGGGTGCTCCATCAGAGCCAGCGGGATGGCTACAACACAGCCGACATTGAATACATTGAAGACCAAAAGGTGAGGGTGGCCAGTGCCAAGAATCCCAAAGCCAGGCTATCCTCGTAACTTGGTACACAAAGATAGTTGCAAAAGGATTTCTCAGAACCCTTGAGGGCCTTGGGATTTCACACCAAATTGCTGCAGCAGCATTGAATGCTGCTGGATTGCTATCCAATTGCAGTACGGCAGTGAGGGCACCTATTGTCCTGGTTCTGCTTAGCTACTGAGTTGCATTCATGCGTAAGAAATGCTATCCTAGATCAACCCTGGGGCTCATTCAGCTTGGGAGTTAAGTCTTTGTCAAAGATACCAAGGAATAGATCTGGGGTGGGTCTATATGTATATATTTTATCCATCAATTTATGTATATTTTAAACTTTTTTCTTTTGAGACAATTATAGATCCACACATGCATTTGTATTTTAAAGTACGTAACCTGGCTAAGAGCCCTTCCCAATAATCCATCATCCCATAAGGCAGAAAGATGACACATCTAGTTAATCCTTGGTTTTCTGAGCTAATGGGTGCAAGAAGAGGTAAATAATCCTGTGTTCATTTATATTTACATTTGTTACATGGTAGATTAATAAATATCTGATGACTAAGTAAATGTGTTTGACCAAGATAGTTACATGCTAAGACTGACATACTCCTGTGTGTTTTCCAGCTAGCAATGGGAAAACAGATGTAAAAATGAAAAGGGCAAAGGCATGGACCAGCATAACCTGATTTAACCACATGCCTCCACTCAGGCTGGTTTGAATCTCTGGTTTTCTGCATGTTTTGCTGTTTCAGCTAATCTACCAGCTGAGCCCTTCTCCTTCCTCCATGCTCAGCAGTATCTACACACTGTCCAGCACTTCACTAAGGGGAATTTCACATCAAGTACAGGAGAAAGCTGGATGGGTGAGCCTTCCCATAAGAAGGCAGAATGGATGCTCAAAGCAAGTCAGGTGTCAAAAGTGACTCCGGGAATGATGGAGAGGGTATAGAATGTTTCACTTCCACTTTGATACTTTCAGGTTCAGGGAGAGGATTGTGCTGAGCTCATGGGATTACATAACTGTGTCTATCAGCAAGCGTCATTGTGGTTTCATTCACTCAAATCATCCCTAAAGAATCGGATACTCAATCACTTTGGTCCCATGCCGGAGAAAGACGCTGATCCTCAGGTATAGAAAAATGTCTACTTGAAACGGGTTGCCCCACTAGAAGAGAGTGCCTAGTGTTTGTGATTAGATGGGTATGTGGTTGCCATTCAGCACATTGAATGCAGAGAGGAAATTTGGTGGTGTTTGGCTGCATAGTGTCATGAGTAAGACCAAAAAGATCCCAAGTTAGAATTGGGGGTAACTAAAGTAAAGCAGTAGGAACTTGGATTCAAGGAAGGTTTTGAGAACTAAGTAGGATAAGAGAATGGGAACATAGATATCACCACCAACAGAAGAACCTTCCATGGGAGTCCAGATTCACACCATGGTAATGTTAGGGTGACAAGATACGTGCAAAGGCCAGGACTAAAGAGAAGGGTATCCTGGGAGCTGAGACCAAAAGCTGCTGCTTTCAGGTAACTTCATAACCCTCTCCTTCATTGCTTTGGGAACTAGGGGATAGGGCCAGCTACCCTTATAGGATTACAACTGCAAGACCATAAAAACTTTTCATGCCTCGGTCTATCTATGCTTTGCCCTGCAAGTCTAGACCCTTGCTATTGTCCTCACCGGGGCTGAACAGCTCCTGAGAAAACTGACCCCATCATTAAATACTGTTGGTTGAGTTATACTAGAAAGTAGTTTGTTAGGTTCTACTGATCAGTGTTCTTCCTGGGGGATAGGCCTATTTGCAAGATCAAACTGCAGATCAGAAGCTCTCTAGGAGAATGGAGATGGTTTTCACTAAGCTTTGCTTGCCTGGTATAAATCAGGGAGTACTTTCTTTCTAGGATAAGGCTGGAGATATCCTAACCACATACTTCCTCATCACCATCTTTTTCTATGCTCCGAGCTGGCTCTCCTACATCAACACTCACAGAACTTCCTTGATTCTTTACTTATGCTCATCCTCAACTCTGTCACAAAAGAAATATCTAAATATGTATATTCTGACCAAAAGTCTGGTCCTTCTTACCTTTCTAGCAGTATAACGTTGGGAAGATCCCTTTCCCTTTCTCAACTTTTGTCCCATCTCTGACATGAGGAGGGGTCTAAAACCGCCTCTTCCTCTTGCATTCTGAGGTTCTAAGACACCAGTCTGTTCCCTAACGAGCTGAAACGTCTTGCTTTCCTCAGACCACAAAAGTGGCTCCTTCCCCACCCATGCAAAGGCATCATGAGTCTTCAAGGGAGAAAGGCCAGTTAGTGCTTCCTGTGACCCAGCTCCTGGCTCTGGGCCACGGTGAGTCAGGACTGCAGCATATACTTCTGAGCAAACTCACGATCAAGCTTAATGTTCCCCTTCACCTTCCGGGAAGCGTTCTCCCTTAGGCAAAAGATATAGATCAGCAATGGTAACGGGAAAACACAGATGCTACAGTGTGATTCATAAAGGCTAATGACAGAGAAAGTTGAAATCTTGGCTTTCACTTCCTTTTTTCTTAGTTCCGTTATTATGTTGCTTTGGCAGCAGCAGCACCAGCAAAAAAGAAAAACCCAAACCCATCCCAGTTTGTTCCAGTCAATGCTGCAGCCCCAGTGGTCCCACAAATAAGAATGTTCTGTCAGGAGGATGTTTCTTAGAAACTGCCACAAGTGTTAATACCAGCTTAAATATCTTTGTTGGTGATCCTTGGAAAAAAAGTTCAGAACATCAGTCTAATATTCAGAACTGATAATAGGAAGGAGAGCATGTTGCCAGCTTCAGGGAGGGACAAAAAAGAATGCAAATGAAGCTAGAGGCACAAAGAAGCAAAGAAGGCAGTGAGATGTGGTGACGATCAGAGGAACCAATTTGGAGCCAAATAATTTCAGGTGTAGGCACTTTTACCAGAATGGTTCTCTGTAGTCCTAAAACCAAACTTGTGAAAGTTGTGGGCAGAAAGCTCGTTTTAGGCTTAGAAGGAAATAAGTTCCCAATGTCTAAAATATGTGCCAGGGAAGCTGCTTACAAACAGAATTTTGGGGAAGGATTTATGTGGAATAGGAGAGCTCTTTATTTTAAAAGGAAATCTAAGGGCAGAATATATATATATATATATATATATATATATATATTTTTTTTTTTTTTTTGAGACCGAGTCTCACTCTGTCACCCAGGCTGGAGTGCAGTGGCACATCTCGGCTCACTGCAAGCTCCACCTCGCAAGTTCATGCCATTCTCCTGCTTCAGCCTCCTGAGTAGCTGGGACTACAGGCACCCGCCACCACGCCCAGCTAATTTTTTGTATTTTTAGTAGAGACGGGGTTTAATCATGTTAGCCAGGATGGTCTCGATCTCCTGACCTCGTGATCCACCCACCGGCCTCCCAAAGTGCTGGGATTACAGGCATGAGCCACCGTTCCCAGCCCCGGGGCAGAATATATTTCTAATGTGAATGTTTTCTAATTGGAATTTTTGCAAAGTGATTCTTTGGTACTGTAAATCATAGCCTTTGGTTTTCAGGGGAGAAGAGAGCTGTGACCCTGTATAGTGACATGGTATATCTGGACTATTGCCTTCAGCCACATCAAAGAAATGAGGGGACTTAAAAGACATGCAAAGGTCAAGGGGTCATGGGAATTGAAGGCCTGAATGTTAAATGCATCAGTCCAAAGGACCTCAACAGAATATTAGAAATGGAAGAGACTACATAGTAGATACTAGCTTGTAAAATCACATTGGCTAGGAAGCATGGTGTATCTGTTAGGATATTGGTTGGTTTGCTTTAACAAGAACCAAAAATGACCGGAGCTTAAACAAGATGGAGGGGCTAAGTCCTGGACAGTTAGCGCAGCTCTATTCCACGAGAGCATTCAGGGACCCAGGCTCCTTCATCACAAAACTCTACCATCCTTAGAATGTTGCCCTCATCCTCTTGATTGAGGAAGGCTGATCCTCACCACATCCATGTTCTAGCTAGGGGAAAGGGAGAGAAAGAGGAAGGCAGAGGGCATATGCTGCTTTTCCAGAGCATGGCCAAGAGGTTACACATATCACTTCCCTTTACATCTCATTAGCCAGAACTTTGTCTCATGGCCTCACCTAGCTGCAAGGGAAGCTCAGAAATGCAGTCTTTTTTCTGGGTGGCTATATGCTCTGCTAAAATAAGGGGGGAAATAGATATAGGGACAATTAGCAATCTGCCACATGGAGTTGTTCTACCTGGGACTTGACCTTGAGCATTTGCAACTCTGCAGACTGATGTTCTTGGATGGGAATAGAATGACCCCATTGTATTTCTCTGTTGCAGATGAACCCGAATGGCCCAGCCTGGTGCTGGTGGATGTTAGCGGTTCTTCCCTTGGAAAGCCGAGCTCAGCTCCCCTTCCTAGCAATGAGGTCCTTAAAGGACAGACTGAATGGTATTCGACGAGTCCTGGCCTTCATATCCCGAAACCAAAACTAGTGAGTGGATTGCTGAAGAGGAGCTCCCACCTTCCCCACTGCCGTTGGGAGGAGTCTTGTAAATATATCTAATTGCAATAATATCTTAAGGGAGTGTCAAACAGAGGCGTCAGCCTGCTGTTGATCACAGAGAGAAATTGAGTAGAAAGACCAAAAGAATGTGACCTATTTGAAACTTTCTGTCTTAAGATGCTTCTTGACATGCTGCGTAACTACATAAACAGCAGAGGTGTTTAAGAGCCCAGAAAAACATAATTTGATTTTAACATTAAAATTTCCAAAAGTTTAAAGTGGTTTTGCTTTAATATTCTTTCTTTCATAGATCAATGACTGTGTGGTTGAAATGTGAAAACAAAGATACTAATAATGTTGCTGTATAATTTCACTGACTTGAGGTCTCATTCCAAATGGTTCAGGTTTTATAGAGCATTGTGTAAAATAATGTTCATACTTCTTTCTGTTTTAATAATTTATTTTTTGCACTACTGTATCCTTTTTTCTACATGTATGTTTGTAACTATGTAAGCGTATATTGCTCAAAAGTTTGTTGCTTTATTTATTGATGTGGTTTACCGTGTACCTAGGGGGAAATAACAATACTAGAAGTGTGCAGTTTTTGCTTTAATCTGTTTTTTACTATGGTGACACTAGTTCTTAGACCATTTCTGTATCTATCCAAGTGAATGCTTAAAAGAAGTTCAGAATGATGCTAAGATAATCTGTCTTCAGAGTCCGCTTTTTTGTTTTCAGTTTGAACTAAACAATATAAAATACTTAAGGGATTTGGCCTAGATTATGGTGTAAGCCAAGGTAAAGTAAAATAATTCATTTTCTGTGTGTAATACAGAACAAAGCTGAAAGAATTATTTTTATTATAGGCATTTATTTCAGCAATCTAATTGTACATGTATCTAATTTTTCCCTAGTGCAGTTAGGAATGGGATTTTAGGCAGGATCATAATTAACTCTTCAGAGGAAATGGCGTTCAGTTTAGCACATCGCAGTCATGCCCAGCTAGCCTCCACATCCCATCTCTCCTCAGGGTTCTGAGGATCAAGACCTGGGCAGAAACACTTGATGAAGGACTTTTTCCTATTAAAAGTGTAAACAAGCCAAATAGAGTAGAACCCTATAAACATCTTTTTAAAGGAACCAGACGGCCGGGCCCAGTGGCTCATGTCTGTAATCCCAGCACTTTGGGAGGCTGAGGCAGGTGGATCACTTGAGGTCAGGAGTTCGAGACCAGCCTGACTAACATGGTGAAACCCTGTCTCTACTGAAAATACAAAATTAGCTAGGCGTGGTGGTGCATGCCTGTAATCCCAGCTACTTGGGAGCCTGAGGCAGGAGAACCACATGAACCCGGGAGATGGAAGTTGCAGTGAGCCAAGATTGCACCATTGCACTCCAGCCTGGGCAATGAGCAAACCTGCGTCTCGAAAAAAAAAAAAGAGCCAGATAATCTATTATTTTATCTAAGTACTGCCTTTGCTTCTAGTTGCATGGGTGAAATATTTCAATGTAGGGGAAGAATACAGGGTGAGAAGTAAGAGTAAGCCCTGATTTAGCTTGCTTAGTGCTAGTTTGAGTCCTTCAGTGGCAGGACAGCCTGTAAAGTACCACGAGTATGGGAGTGTTATAATGGCAGAGTGAAAAGATTAGAGCAGGGAGGAAGTGAATTGTGCCATTAGTACTTTCATGCAAATTATACCATGTGATTTTGGATAGCGAATGATTTTTGCATCATTCACTCACAGCTCATTGCTCTGTTAAGGTGAGAAGGGTAATTCTTACTTCTCCCATCACCACCTGTAGCTAGAAACAGGAAAGGGAGAATGAGATGATCCAGACAACATAAAAAAGATACATGTAAGCAGAAACCAGATGGTCTTTGCAGCACTCACTTAATGGACATTGTCGCCAGAGCATTGTGTTGATCAGATTTGATGTTTGCAGCTAGTCTGGGCAGGTGAAGAGCAGAAATAGATGGAAGTATAGGCATGATTTCTGCCCAAGCAAACTGCAAGGCTCAGGGAGCAGAAAAGACTCCCCCTCCCCCCTGGTTCTCAGACCATCTGGTCATAACACAATCCTAATAGTTTCTTATTATCTAGTGTAAATGCAACAAAGAAAAAGGCCCTAAACTTCTCTACTTATTAGATATATTACTTTTGGCAATTGATTTAACTTTTGCCAAGCCCCAGTTTTCTAATCTATGAAATGATAGTGATAAGTTCTGCATATACGGTTGTTACAAAAATTAAATGAGATAACGTGTAAATCAATTAGCACAGTGTCTCACACCTAGAATGCATTCAAGAAATAATAGCTACTATTAGATTAGTCATAGTTATAGAATATCATCAAGGGGGCCTACATTTGTATAAAACACTGCCTTTACACACAATATCCACTTAAAACCCCTTTAAACTTACTTGGGGGAATACATACCACTGATTTTTGGACCCATAATTTGATGATTTACAGATAATTCTTTTGGGAATTAAATCTGTGTGAAAGTGAAATGACTGGAGAACAAATGAGGGTCAGAGATAGGGATCAATCGTATACCGGAAATTTTTTTCCCGCTTCAATAAGGGCTAAAAGGTAGTGCCGTTTGTAGGTCTGGGATTTCTTTTGTGTGTGTGTGTGAGAGAGAGAGAGAGAGTCCAAGTCTCACTCTGTCACCCAGGCTGGAGTGCAGTGGCTCGATTTCAGCTCACTGCAACCTCTGCCTCCCAGGTTCAAGTGATTCCCCTGCCTCAGCCCCCCAAGTAGCTTGGATTATAGGCACGCACCACCATGCCTGGCTAATTTTTGTAGTTTTAGTAGAGATGGGGTTTCACCATGTTGGCCAGGCTAGTCTCAAACTCCTGACCTCCAGTGATCCACCTGCCTGGGCCTCCCAAAGTGCTGGGACTACAGGTGTGGGTGTGAGCCACCGCACCCAGTGTAGGATTTCTGATAGAATAGAAGCCTTAAGTTCTAGCTCAATTAGAATAACCAACTTACCATTCCCTGTTCTCCAAAATATATTGAGAACCTTACCCATCCCAGATGATTAGAGTTTACAATCTGTGACTTCTGTGCTTAGTTGTAGTATTTCTTTATGTTGCCCAAAGTAACAGATTCAACAAAAATGTGCTGAGATCCCCATGTACCGGGTACTGAGCCAAGTGATCTCACGTACCTGAGCTCATTAAATCATTTATTTCTCTCATCAACCCTGTGAGAGCAGTTACATCCCTATATTATGAATGACAAAACTGAGCCTCCACTATGTTGAATGCTTTGTCTAGTTGCAAGGCAGGATGCAAGGCTAAGCTTTGGCTTTCTTTGGGATGTACCTTAACGAGGTAATCAATTGGTCTTGACCATTTTTACACTGGGAAATTGGTTTTGCTGCACAGCTTGGGAATGAAGGATATCTAGAAGAAAGACATAAAGCTAAATCTAGGCCAGAAAAATAAGACTTCCCCCACGGTAGATAGTGCCACTTATTTGGTTAGTTTTTTTGTCTGTCATGACTGACCCAGTCTTTTGCCTAGTAGGTTATTTTTTGTATGTATGTATATATGTCTTTGTGTGTGTGTGTGTGTGTGTGTATACACCCACACAAGGTAGCAAGCGGACATCATGCCTTTCTGCTTTGTACTGTACTACTGCTGCTAGCAAATAACCAGCAAAATGTGGAAAATAAAAAACCAATTTTCTGTAGACAACTTGGAGAAAAGAGTGCCTGCCCCTGACTTAGCGGGGCAGAGAATGACTATTTTTAAAGTTTGCCTTTTCTGAAGGCCAGCTGCTTCTAGCCCAGTGCTGCCTAGGCAGCAAGGGGCAAGCCGAGTCATTGCGCATGTGGCGCTTCCAGCTCTTACCTGTGGAGCTGACCTGGGCTCAGATAATCCCCTGTGACTGGCCATTGGAGCGGTGCAGCTCCTAAGGCTTGTTCACAGCATCCAGAGGTCTCTTACAGTAAACAGATTGCATACTGTTGACAGACTGCAATCTGTCTGTGTTCCCCACACCAACTCCATTTCCAAGATGGGAATTTTATTCAGGGACTCATTCCTTGAGTTCCCAATATATTGACTTTGCATCCATTACTGCTCACCAAGGCAGAACCATAACAGTGGTGTGTGACAAAGATGCAAATGGAGGGCAGCCCAAACAATGGAAAAGGGAAGATTTTCAGCCCATTCTTGAAGCTGAGAAATGAGGTTTTGATTTATGATAGAAGACAGTTCTAAAAAGCAGCTGGCAGCATGGGCTTCAATTTGTGCCCGTTCTGAGTTCAAAGAGAAGGAAGGAAAAGGAGCCACATAAAATGTACACATTCAATTCATCTTAGAATGATAGCTCCCACCTTATTATACTGTACAACTATTTAATAATCTGGATTACACACATCCAGAGGTGAAATGAAGAAATTTTCACTTACAAATGTGTATTTCCAAACATGCTAAGTTAACCTCCAGAGAGAAGTGCCTGTAATCTCTGTTCCTGGTGTCACTTTAAAGCTTTTGCTTCATGACTCTGTAGCTGTTGTTTAAAATGTTTTTGCAGCAAACGTGATTTCACAGAAGTTTACAAAGCAACACTGTAGCTAATGCATAATTTTAAAAGTCGATTAACATTTATCTATTGTTAAAGCAACACTAATAATGGAATAAAAGGAAAGTTAATAGGTCAATGTGGCACCATAGGCTTATTTTAGATAAACTAGTTCCATCATCTTATGCAGTTGTAAGTAATGCCAGGATTAAAATATCAAGCAAGCCACGTAAACAGTGGCAAATGTGTGTGTGTTTTCCATTTGTTTGGTAAGCAGCCATTTTACTCTTGCACTGTAACGAACTGAAGGGAAATATAAGATAATGCTTTTTTTCCCCCCCATATTGCTATTCAACTACCTCTATATGCTTTATTTCTTTTTAGGATTCCCTTCCTCCAAATCTGTACAAAAACGTTTCAGCTCATCTATGTTGTAATAACAATGTGATACAGACAGTTTGTGTGAAAGTTGTTTGTTCATTAAAAAAATGTTTCCTATTGCCTCACTTTGTGTCCAACAAAACTGTATTCCTACCTTAGGAAAAGAGTTATCCAAGTAGCTTCAGTATCACTTCGGTGGAAGCTGAATAGAAAGGAATGCTTCAGGAACATCTATTTTGTTCTCGTTCCCATTGGTTGTAATACCTTTGACCAGAGGATCCTTTAAGGAAATATACCTGCATTCAGACAGCAAACTCCCAGGTATGTGACAGTGAGGCAGGTGTGAACTGATTAA